AACAAACCATTTGACATTGTTATGCGACTTATTGAACCTCTAAAGACCTCAAAACGAAATTTGACAACCGATAATTATTATGGTAGTTATCCCTTGGCACAAGAGTTACTCAAAAAGGGTATAACCCTCATCACCACTTTGAAAAAAAATAAAACCGATATTCCACCAGGATTTCTTCCAAATCCAAAACGTAAAGTAAAATCATCACTATTTGGATATCAAGATGAGTGTACTTTGGTGTCTTACGTTCCTAAAAAAAACAAAGCTGTCATTTTATTATCTACTATGCATGATGGTCCTGGTGACATAAACGAAGAAACCGGAAAGCCTGAAATCATCCATGATTACAATAAAACAAAAAGTGGAGTAGACACAGTTGACCAAAAGTGCTCGGTAGCTTCAACAGCTCGGAATACTAGAAGATGGCCGCTTGCATTGTTTTTCCGTTTCTTGGATATGGCTGGGGTAAATTCTCATATTTTATACGTTGCCAATAATATATCAATGTACGATTATCGCAAATTTCGAAGGTTGCCGTTTCTTCAAAGGCTCGCCACGAATCTCTTAGAAGAACATTTGAAAGAAAGGGCCAAAGTGAAGGGTCTTCCTAAAGATGTACAGTACTTTCTCGCTAAATACAAAAATGAAGATGTTTGCTCTGTTACTCAAGGAGAGAATCTACCGAGATCTGGAGCTTGTCATGCATGTGGAACAAGGAAAAACAACAAAACTACGGTTAGATGTTCCCTTTGTACTCGTTTTGTTTGTAAAAAACATTGCACGAATATAATCAAGTGCCACTCATGTCAAAATTCTGAAAGTTCAGAATCAAGTATGGAAAATTAAAATTTAAGAAAAGGTTTAGTTGTAGTTAGTAAAAAAGTCTGTTATAAAAGTTTATTTATTAAAAGTTTAAAAGTATAATTTTTAGTTTTATCAATAAATACGTTTATCTATCATATTCATGTTTTATAATCACATTTCTCAAAATTATGATAAAAATATAATAAAAAAATGAAAAAACTACAAACTTTGTGCATATTAAATTCACTATAAGCCATTTTAATGTAGATAAGAGTCTCTGAAAGTAGATATTATACTTATAATTACCAGATATTTACACTACGTATTTGTTTTGAGATTTTTCACAGTGCTTGTTTGAAGTAACAAATGTTTAAAAATCAACATTCAAAAAGATTTTTATAGTTATTCACGAGGTATTTAAGTTTTTGTTGTAAAACCATTAATAAGCGAGTTATTAACAAATTTAGAACAAATTCCGTGGTGTCGGCACTGAGTGCCGTCCGCGGGTGCCGGGGTCTGGGAATCAGGCGCGGGCGGCCGAGGGTTAAAGAAAATCGTGAACGTTTAGTACCTATAATTAAGTCAATATTGTTCCTAGGACGTCAAAATATTGCACTTAAGGGCCACAGGGATGATGGGCAACTTTTATCCAAAATTATATCTTCAGATTTTAGTTCATACACCGAGTCAATTACTAACCAAGGAAATTTTAGGGAACTCCTCAAATTCAGAATAGATGCTGGCGATACAAATCTTGAACATCATCTTATGTCTACTTCTAAAAATGCTACATATATAAGTTATACAATACAAAACAACTTAATTCAGTGCATTGGAAAAGAAATAACTACTTTTATAACAAATGAAATTAAAGAAGCAAAATATTACAGCATCATTTTTGATGAAACGACTGATGTTTCAGTAATTTCCCAAATGAATTTTAGTGTGCGTTACTTAAAATCTGGAAAAGTTTTTGAACGTTTTATTTCTTTTGTTAACTGTCATAAAAATATATATGGAGATGAACATGAAGATGATGAAGACCAGGACTTAGAAAATATATCAAAACAACAAATTGAACCTAAATTAAGTGGAGAATTACTAGGAACAACAGTTCTCAATATTTTACATGATTTAAAGTTAGACGTCAATAATTGTATTGGTATTTCAACTGATGGATGTACAACAATGACTTCAACTATAAAAGGAGCCGTTCAACATGTTCAAAAATCAGCTAAAAATTCAGTATACAGTCCTTGCCATAATCATGCACTAAACTTATCTATTTCAAAATCATCAACAGTACAAGCCATTAGAAATAGTGTGGGTATCATGCAACAAATAATAACATTTTTTAATAGTTCAGCAAAACGTAATTTTATTTTGAAAAAGTAATTAAAGAATAATGTTGTAAGTTTATGTGAAACACGCTGGGTAGAGCGGCATGATAGTGTTATGCAATTTAAAAATTCACTACCAAAAATTATTGATGCTTTAACAGAGATAACTAACTGGGAAGATCTGTCATCATCTTCTAAAGCAAAAACACTTTTATGCTCGATAAGTAACTGTGAGTTTGTTATTTCGATATATTCCTTATCATCTGTAC